GTAGGGCCTGAACTCGGTTGTCAGGCTGAAATGTCTCCGGGGCCTGTAAGCCCTAAGTTTTAGGCTTCAGTCTGGCAACCGTTTTAGGGCCTGTAGGGCCTGAATTCGGTTGTCAGGCTGAAATGTCTCCGGGGCCTGTAAGCCCTAAGTTTTAGGCTTTTAGGCTGACTGTCTGGGACGGGCCCTGTAGGGCCCGTGTGGCTACGCAGTATGCCACATTGGGCCTGCCTTCACTTAGGGCGGCCGACTGTGCTGCTGGCAGGGTCAGAAGGGGCTCATCGGGGCCTTATGCCTCGCAAAAACAAAACAACTGTGCTTACCTCATTTGGTTCCAGGTTCGAATCTTGCCAAGAACAAAAACAACAAACACCTGAAATACAGCAAACCCCTGGGCAGTTTGTGGGCTTAGACCGGCAGTTCACCTGAAGCAGAGTACTTCTCTTACCGGTGGACACGGTAAGAGCTTTTTGATCCGGGCCTGGGCCGGTAGCGAATGCGGCAGGCCACATTGAAAAGGCATGGTTGGAGGTCGCGAGCCTTGGAATGTAGCTTTGTCAACTTAGGCTCGTGTGAACTAACTGGTGGTTCAAGTCCCGCCATCCCAACGTACTCCCTCTCCTGCAGCTGTGTTTGCAGACTATGCCCGACATCTATCTCTCATATTTGGCTGATGCTGAGGGTGTCTGAAAAATAGTTTCCCACAGCGGGGAGCAGCAATCCAATTCCTCTTTTCGCTGGAGCCCGGACTGCTGCTCCCCAGAATAGACTGGAGCCTTGACCAGGAACGCTTTTTTTCCCCTTTTTTGTTAAACCACCAGTACGCTGTGGGCCTAGCAACACCTCCAGCGTTTTGCTCACGGATGCAGCTGTCAGATTCGATCTTCTGGGTGCAAGGGGGGTACCAACATTTCGAGTGCTCAACTTTGGTGATTGTTGATTCTTGTTTCCTTTGACATACCAATCTTTAAAAAAACAGGATTCAGCTGTCGGATTCGGCCTTCTGGGTGCAAGGGGGGTACTTGGGAGGGGGGGGGCAACGTGTTGAGTGCTCCGACTTTGGTGATTGCTGATTCTTGTTTCCTATGACATAACGATCTAAAAGAAAACCAGGATGTATGATAGGTACCGTTGTGCCAGCGAAAAGTATTAGGAAAAGAAAAGCCTCTTTTGACCATGAAATTGTATCAGGATTTGAACTCGTGATCTGCTTAACAACAGTTACATGTGTGCAATATTCAGACCCAGGCTGTTGGGTGTCCTATTTCTTTGATACAAATAGGAATGATGTACGAGCAATTCATCGTTTGGATGATCTATTTGTCAACATACTCCCTCTCATGGCTCGTGCTCTTTGCATTATATTGCAGTCTGACCTGATCTCACACTTTCTTACCGGTTTGAATGTCAAATACAGACTTGGGAGGACTCCGACATTCTTGGTTTATGGGCATAGTCAGCAGAGGCGTGCAGTTATTGAAGCGACGAAGATGATGCTTGCAAGCCGACGCGGAATTGCTGATTCGATTGGTAGGGCTTTGAATCGCATGTTTGACTGAGTGCTCTTTCAAAGAAATTGAACAATTTGATGATCCCTACGATGAGAGGCAAAGTATACGTACCTGTCTGCCTTTTTGTTGGTGAATGACATTGACACGTTGCTCTTTCAAAGCATCGCTACATTTTATGATTCCCCCGGTTAGCAACAGGCCTGCTGTTTTTCAGTTGCCGGCCACAGATTTCCCCGCTGTCTGTAGAGATTCGCCTAGTTTTTAAAGAAGTGATTGCTGGTTTAAGTGCACAAGCATCTATAGCAGCGATGATGAGGAGTCTGATATCTGCACGTTTACTAAGGCTAGCGCAGGGCATGTACGAGCGAGATGATGTCATCATGTTCGTCAACCCTACTTGGATAGTTCATCCAGCAGTACCAGGAGCATACCTTTGACCCTTTAACTTCGAATAAATGGAGAGCATTTGCATTACTGGGCAAGCCTAGGCTAGCAGAGTGGCCTGGGACTACTTGCCCGGCCGCATCACCCAGGGCAGTGCAGCCTGGAGCCACCTGCCCAGTCACTCGGGCAAGCCAAAGATGAGGTTAAAAACAAAACAAAAAAAACATGGTAGGGCATGTCTGCGCCCACTGAGATGTGCTCACATCCGGCCTTTGATTGGTGATCCCACTTTAGGGGGCCTGTAGGGCACAAATGGGGTTTAAAGGGGGTCACAGGGGCTCAAAGGGGTGTGATATGATTTTTTTTTTTTTTTCATTCAATAATGAATCTCGGAGTGACCCTCAGCTTGTTTGAATTTTTATTTTTTTTTGAAACGAACTTTCATTACTTATTTGGAAAGGGGGGGCCCAGCCACCCCACATAAAGGCCGGATCTGGGAGCATTAGCCAATATTATGCTTTTAACGGGACCCAAAGGGCACCCGGGGAATGAGGCAACAACCATAAACGCCTAATTCCGTTTTCCTACTCTTAAACCCTAAACCTGAGCTATTCTACTTACTGAATACTGTCTATCCTATCCCTCTGCTTCTTAAGCCCGAAACGCTCAGTAAATTGTATCTGCTTTTCTTGCTAATAAAAATAGACTTACTTCCTACTCACCCCCTTCTAATTTCTAGTTACCACTATTCTTCTCTTAAACCCTAAACCCTAAACCCTAAACCCTAGCACAGCTCTGTTTACTGAAAAGCTGTCCTTCCAACTAGTTCTTCCTCTTTGTGATATCCTACTACATTTCTTTTGTCGCTCCCAGACGCTTCAAGCTCCCTGTTCGTCAGGGGCTCAAAGGGAACTTGTGGTGTTGTGTCTTCCTCCAGTGAAAAATCTGAGTCCTACCCGTGTCCTCTTCCATTGGGCCCTGATGTCTGTTTCGACCAAGTTGTGCAGTATTTCCTGTGCTTTCTGAACGTGCATTTGCCTCCTGTCTATCATATGCTGGCATCTCCTCTTCCAGATTTTCCACAGGGCGATTTGCCTGAGGAGTTGGTATGCTCTCGGCTCGTACCGCTGCCCGGTGCTCGGTGTTCCTGTCCTCAGCAGTTGGGTCACCGCATCTTCAGGGAAGTCTGCACCCGTGAACTTGCTCCATAATTCCTCCACCATTGCCCATATTTGTTTTGCATCCTGGCACTCTAGCAGGCAGTGCTTCTCTGTCTTCTTCAGATCTGTGTGGCAAACTGCGCACAGTTCCTTCAGCGGGACCTGTTTTCCCGACTCTTCCGCTTGTTCAGCCATACGTTGGCAGGAGTTGCCATATGGGTGATGAGCCATTGGAGGCTTCTGACCCTCCCTAGTCTGATAGAGTCCAGTCCCGAGCAAGGTAGGGGGGTAAGCCGTGATGGACGCATGCCCATTCTGTCTTCCCACTGTTTTAGCAGCGCGTCTTTCAGTGGGTGCGAGGTCGTTCCGAGTTTGTAACCTAATTTGGTTGAATAGTGCAATATATTAGTTCTTAAGGCCACGCTCTTACGGTTGAATAGTGCAATGTATTAGTTCTTAAGGCCACGCTCGTCCTTCCGCCTTTTAGTTTCCATGCCCATTCCACCGGGTCTATATGCAGGTCCTCAATTGCAGTCGTTGGGCTATGAATAGTGAAGTCCTCCGTTTCTACGACTCTCACCTTCCTGACCAGCCCCATTCTCACCGTGATCTGTGTGCGTGATTACTTGTTGACTCTGCTTGTTGTCGCTCCAGGCTCTGTGATTTGGTACATGTCTGCTGTCAGCCAGTTCTTTTGCGGGCCCACCCTTCCTCAGATCCGATCACGTTTTTTTTTTTTTTTTTTTTTTTTTTTTTGCCACTGGTGCTGCCCAGGACTTCGGCTGGACATTGCCCGGCAGGGCCACCCGAACAGCCCAAGGTGCGCTGGGTGGTCCAGCTGGTAGCGTAGAGACAATCCAATATGTACATTTTCAACTGATAACACATGAGCAACATGGTGAATATTGGTATGCCTAATGGGGCAAACACTCGGTGTTGTTCCCTATTTAAATGGTCAGAGACTCAGAGGTATAATTCATGGCGTTTTCTTGGAGTGTGAGGCTCCAGGCCTCGGCGGCGCTCTTGGCAAGGAGGTTAAGCGGGTACTCACACAGCGGTGGGATAGCGGCAAAATCTGCGAATTTTGCTATCCCGCTTTTGCTGAAATGCCACCCCTCCCGGTTACATAGTGGCAGCAAATCACAAAAGACACGAGCTGGGCTTTCTGGCAATTGCCAAACTGGTGCCTTGGGTGGTCACACAGCCCGAGGCCCAAAAACTTTTTTTTTTTTTTTTTTCAACAGTCCGTTTCGAATTTCCTTTCACGAACTCATTGAACTGAAAAAAAATTCCTACCACCTCCAGAGGTGGTTGCAAAATGCCCTTCCCCGCGGCCAGGCCGCTGACATTTGGGACACCGTTTGCTGCTTTTGCCACTTTCCCTGCCTTGTGCGACTGGCCCAACCATCAATCAAATTTTAGCTGTTTTGCCATAAAAGGCTGTAGTGTGAGTAGGCCCTAAGCTCAATGAGGCAAATGCGGCCTTGCGTTTTGTCAAAAGCATTGCAGGCCGCTGCTGAGGGACATTTCCTTTGGTGCAGAAGTTGGCGGCCAGGCAGCGCTAAAATTAGCGCAGCATCAAGAGCCAGGAGAGAACGCTGATGACACCCAAGGAGAAAGGGGCTGGTGCGGTAGAGCAACCCGGCCAATGGCAGCCATAATCTAACAACTCCCATAAAACTTTTCGGCCGGGGACGCGACTCTCGCGTCTGCAATGGTCCACGTTAGTGTTTTCCTGTGGAGACGTCCGATGTAAAAATTCTGACGCGCGAGTGACTAAGTCGCGAATCGTGAGACGTCCGATGTAAAACTCTGACGCGCTTTTCGGCCGC